TTTTTTGTTTTTATTTTTGTTTAGGAAGTGGGGAAAATATTCGCTTTAACAAAGTGTCTTTCAATATCATTATTACTACTTTTTGTATAATACATATGTATGTATGTATGTATTTATATATTCACTTGCGACATTTTTTACACAACAAAAATATGTACATACATATTTCCTATACAAAGCAAAGAAAATTTTGCTGCAATTTTGCAATTATTTTTGTTCAATCGCTTTCTTTTTTCTTCTTCAATTTAAACAATTATCGCTTCTTCAGTGTTTTTTATTAACCCTTATGTGCGTCCTAAATTTTACATAATATACTAAATAAGTAGTTGAGTAATAAATATCAGCAATTGAACTATATATATTGTTTCTTATACTTATTACATGTACATATGTAAATAAAATTTTAAATAACAAACGGCATAAATATTTGTTTGCATTTATTAAATAACTAAGTGTTAAGGAATGGAACTAAACGTTAAAGCATTTTTAAAGCGCTTCATTTTTTTCAAAAATTTTTTTTTTGTATTTAACAATTTTTTGTTTTAAATTTAGCTCAACTTAACTTAATTGTATTTATTTTTAAGATTTTATTTTATAACCTTAATAAGTTGTTCCATTATTATTTTTAAATTAATCCGCGAAATGTGTTTTTCCTTTCGTTTTAATTCAGCATTTTTTCCTATTACACACATTGCAATGTGTGTGTTCCTATTTCAGCTTTTAGTGGTTAATTTAGTTTACATAAATGTTTCAGTGTACATTTTAAGTGTTTTCTGAACTACGAGAAACCCGTTTTCCGTTTTTACTAACCATCACGAATTTCTACCACAGAGTAAAGCAGTCGGAAATCTCTGAAAAAAATTTTAACCATTAATTACACTGTACGACATTTACAGTTTTTTCTGGGGAATTGATGAAACCAAACTTTTCTGGTTGTATATCTGTGTTCGTACGGAAAAGTAGCTTATGTTGAAAGGCCGGCTTTAGTATAATGCGGCATTCCCTTTATTTTTAAAACGACAAGGAATTTTTTGATGAGACTTAAAAAGAATATTGACTTGCTAGCATCGGAACTATTTCTTGCACGTTTATTTGCTAAAAGTTGTTTAACGGCTTAGCGCCCGTAAGTCATTCGCAACCGTATGCTGCGAATGCCGATTTATACTAAAGCCAGCCTTTCGACATAAGCTACTTTTCCATACGAACACAGATATAAAAAAAAAAGTAATTTGTCAGTTCTTCCAGGTTAGCGAGTTGAATCGATTTTATTTTTTATTATTTTTTTTCAAGTTGATGGTCGCAGAGCAGTATCTGAAACAATTATAAGTGATTTAAATTTATACATTCAAAGGGCCTTCCCGGGGTTTTGGGGTCTGATGACTCTGATAGCCGATAGGGTGCGTTTTGATGCAAAAAAAAAGTGCAAGGAACATGAAGAAAAAATGGAAACAATGTTTCTCAATAATGTTACTCAACAATGTTTCTTCGTGTTTTTTTTTTTTTTTAACCAAAGCTCACCCCGCGGCCTTTGTCGTAAAAATTATTAGCAGATTCAAATTCTTCGTACCTGAAATCCTTTGATGATATAAATATATGCATCTAAATTAATTTTAGTTGTTTTAAATGCTGTTGTGCGACCACCAACCTCAATTAAAAAAAAAAAAAACCGCTCAAAATCGCCAACCTGGGAAAACTGAGAATTTACTTTTCTATATACGATCCAGGCTTTCAGAAAACCTTGGTTTTATCAATTCCGCAGCCGACTGCCGAACGGTGTTATTTTAGTAAAAGTTCAGTTTAAATAGAATAAAAAAAAACTCTAATTATGAAAATACTTTGCATTCAGCTAAAAATTAAGAGCATCCCTTTTCAAAAAAAATTAAAGCTACAGTGGCTTATATCAACCAGCACCTATTAAAACTTTTAGCCACCAATAGAAATTAAATTTAGAAAGATTTCAAAATTATTTAAGCGCAGTCTAAGTAAGTTTCCAACCCCCGCTACGATGATAACGCTACTACCTCAAAACCTTGTTTTGAACTCAGTACTACCTGGCAAATTTTAAGCCCCACTTCTGATTTTTAACGATTTTTTGCGTGTCATTCTGGCATTTAAATCATTTTCTTCCCCAACTCGACTTTCGACTGAAGTTGCCATATATTTGTCAGAATTTACCAGAAAGCGTTCCCGTTCTCGATTCTCTGATAAATGAGAGGACAAATAAGCGAAAAAATGCCAAAAGTTGCAGGATTTTAGCCGAAGAATTTTTGCTGGTAAAATCTGATAGTGTCAAACCATCAGCAGCTTTTCTATGCTCTCAAAGCAAATTGAAAGTTGAGTAAACAAAAAGTAAAGCACACAGCAAACGTTTTATCTTATTTTATTAAAAATATCGTAGCCAAGTAATATTAAGTTTTGTAAGAATTTTTGTTAATTTGTATATTTGAATATAATTTTGCAAATCGCCAAATGATAAAAAACAGCTTTGGCTACTAGTTTTTAACCGAAAAGCGTTCCCGTACTTTTGAGGTTTTGATGTTTCTCTGAGAGCATTTTGCCCGTTTTACCTTTTATTCCACAAAAGTATAGACACGAAAGTAAGTTAATATGTTTTTTAATTTAGCTTTTATTTGTGCTTACAAATTTCAATAAGTGCTGGTCGAAATAAGCTGAGAGCCAGTAAATATATATCTCTTTTAATATTCATAAAATACCTCGCGCTTCTATGTTGATGTACTTTTAAGATGTCTCAAATTTTTCTAAACTGTGGCCAATCATTACGATTTCTACTTAGTTTGTGTTTGTGATTTAATTATTATTTTTTTTTTTTAAGATTTCCTTTTGCTACGTACACCTATTGTCTATGTTTTTTTTTTCGTTTGCAGACCTTGTACGATATGTCGATTATTGTGTTTTTTTTTAAGACAAATTAAGTCACTTTTATTTATTTTCGATTTTCAAATTTTGTATTTTCTATTGTGTCGGAGTTTATTTATTAATTGTTTAACTTTTTATGTGTACAGTAGTTTGGTTTATTGAATATTTTTTTATTAATTTTTATATTTTATATTTTTTGCTAATTATAATTGTAACTATATGTAGATTCATTTCATATTTGAGTTGCTAGAAAGTTGTACTGCAAAAATATTAATAGTTTCGAAAAATTATAAAAGTGGCTGTCGTTTTAAAGCGAGTAGAAACTTTTTTTTTTTTTGTCGACAAAATTAGTAAAAAGATTTTATAATAAGTTTTGCAAAAAGTGTCTATAGAAGTAAGAGTAATTTGCAAAAAGTGCTTAAAATTATTTATAAACTTAGGCATTGAATTTTGATGCGCGAATATCATTGGTTACGATTTTTAGAGAAACTAATAGGTTTTCTTTTAATTTTGTTAAAATAAACTAAATTATTCTATTCTATTCTATTATTCTGCCCGCGCTGGTGTATGGTGTTCTAGTTTTCGAAAGTAATATGGAACGATATGCTGTATCAGCTATACCACGATATAGACATAGTGCGGCGGTTTAAAATAGGAAGACCTCAGAAGCTTTTTTGGACGTTGGGGTATGTTACTACACTTAAGTGGCTCATTGAAATCACACTGAGAAATTAATTTCGTTGGCGTAACTAAACTCTCTCTCTCTCTTTTCTCAGTGCAGGTTAGTACCGTTCAAGCCCTACACATGGCCCTACACACGCGAACGCGCACATCTATGACGGGGGAGAGAAAGCGATCAGCCTATAAATTACACGAAAAATAAATATTACCAACAGCTGTTACTTCGATCGTTATATGAAAATTGGAGCCTTCTTGAGACAAGCGAAAATTACTTCTTACTATTACACCGTGCAACGAAAACCAAAAAACTTTCATACACATGAAACAATGAGTATACTCACTGAACTATGGGCCAATATATAGTAACGCTGCGTTTTTTGTTTTTTCTCTGACCTCAGAATTATTTTTAAAAGGACTTTGAAATTTCAGGGATAGGATTAATTAAAAAAAAAAAACAAATATTTAAAAAATTCAATGCAATGTAAAATTCAAGTGTAGATAGCAAATGATCGACAAAACTCTGTGGAATAAAAAAAAATTGGTTCACAAGGACGAAGAGGTACATTAATTTAATTTTTTTAAACTAATAAAGTTAGAGGAAACGAAGTTCGAGGATGTATACATGTGTATATTAGTCCTTAACATATATTTTTTCAAACATTAACACAAACATTCAGGGAACAAATTTAAAAGAACATTTTCAAAACCTTTTCGTCCTTATTTACCAAAAAAAAAATAATCCTTTTTAATTCCACAGAGTTTTCTCTCTTATTTGAAACCTACACTGTTATTCTACATTGCGCTGAATTTTTTAAATAAGTAATTTTTTTTTAATTAATCATAAATTTGAAATTTGAAAGTACTTTTAAAAAATCTTAACGGCAGCGAGAAAACCCAAAAGCGCAATATTACTATTTATGGTACCCTGTGTCGCGAATATATTGATTTTTTTCGTGTGTAAAATTGACTGTCGGTCGGTGTTATCACTACGAGAACTACTTAAGTACTTAAGTTTTCTACGAGAGATCGGTGACACTGTTTGCGTGGTCGACAAGCGCCAAAGAAGATGTAATGATGAACTTTACGAAATTTCGAAATTTTTCTTGGCGTTTGACTTCCACACAAGAACACTAACATTTGGTTGAGGCCCTTCAATATTAAAGCGTTCCACTGTGTTACTTATAAAAGTTTAAAAACCTATACATAAATCCAGAAGCGTCTTATAGCGTGCCAGTATTATTTAGTTACAAAGAAAATTTTTTGAACTTAATTTTAATAAACTTTTAAAACAAACTTACTGATTAGCCAAGGAATTTATGTTTTGTGTACTTAAAAATTTCTTATAAGCATATTTAAATACATATATTTAATACTTAAGTCGTGATTGAGATATCTGTTTTTTTTATTTGCCTGTATGTATGCAAATTAGTGAGCTTTTGAACTATTTTTATAAGTGCAATTAAAATTTGTATCGTTGCGTTAATTTAAAACTTTCACAAAACTAGTATTTCAAATCTATGCTAGTAAGTAATATTTAAGTAGGAAATAAAACTATTATGCCTTAAAACTTATTTTAAAAATTAAAAAACTTAGCTGCTTAAATATTTGTAGTTTAAAATACTCGTACTATTTATAGTTTTTAAAATGGATTCAACTATGACTTTTTGCAAACTGCTTTTAGGAGACTTTTACCTTCACACTACAATACATACAAACATACAAACATACTGATGTATGTCGCGTAATTTTCAAAAACAATAAAAATTTAATAAACCATAATTAAGTATCGAAGTTATGAGAATTCTCAATGGAAGCGCGCTTCGAGGATACTCAAACGTCTTTCTTCACACACAATCAAATCGAATTGATTTTTCGCACCAAAAACCTAATCTAAATATGTATGCACCTGTCCATAGCTACTACTCATCAGAAATTCACAACTATTATTTATAATATGACACACAATTTATGCACAAATCTATGTACATATTTATATATGTATGTATGTACATAAGTACTATGCGTAAATATCAGTGGCTTACTCCCATTTGCCACTCGCTCGCTTGAAGACTTCTTCAATTCGATTTTTTGGTCCTTGCACGATTATCATAAATTGCGATGGAAAATCCCAAATGATTGTAAAGTGGAAAAGCATATTCGCAATGGCGATCACATACTCGAAGAAAGCGAACCAACTGAAGGCTATAAGAATTGAGAAAAAAAATAGAAAAATTAATAAAGTCAAAAAATTAGGAGCTACTCAATGTTGCCAGATTCACGGTTTTAACTGTAAATTACAGTTTTTTAGACAAGCTTATAAATTTTCCTTTCGTTTTTTTTTTGTAAATTAAGTTTTAAGATAGAAGCAGCGTTTCCCGAAAATTTACAGTTTTTTTTTAATCTGGCAACACTGTAGATCTCTCTTTCTCTCTCTAACTTACCTAAATCGTGACAGTAGAAACGATGCTTGGCAAAGAAAAAGAGCAAACCGACGGTACTCACAATAGAGATGGCGAATAGTATTTTCTTCCATTTGATTGACTCACGTTGTACGGGCAAAAGTTGACTTTCTTCTTCAAAGAGCATTCCATGCAATTTGATCGTAGCCAACATGTAGCAGAGTGAGCAAACCATGAATGTGATGAAGATTTTCTCGTGAATTGCTAGAAGAGAATGAAAGCGTTTGTATAAATCATATCGTTTCCTTATTTAGAGTTTTCGTATTCCTATATGAATTATTTAGTACAAAATAACGTTTATTTTAACGTGAATAACTTAGCAAGATGCCGTGTGGCGGACGAACTGACCAAGAAAGCCACTCTCGAGCCGGTTACACCAAGACAAGTGAGAGTGGAAGTACTTTTGCCCACATGTGGACTACCCTTGGATAGATGAGCTGGTAGAACCCAGGGCATGCGCAACGGCAAAGTTTTCAGGCTGAGGTGGATCCCCAATATATCTCCCTAGTATCACGAAGCCTCAACTCATAATTCTGATTGCTGTGCTTAATATCACAACAAAATCCACATAAGTACAGCTGCTTGGAGGACGAATAGATGAGCTTCTTTTCAAACTGACCAGTTTTTAAAAAGCTGGGATCACAAATGTCTAGTGCTTCCAGTCCAAGTGTGTCCCTTTTTACCGCAATCAGTTTCAAACTTTCAATTGACAATTAGCCTTTCTTTGATTGTTGAAGTTTTCCTGAATAAAATTTTTGGTTTTGATTGGATTTCAGCAGGCCAACAATTTGGACCATAAATGCTCATTGTGCTTAAAACCTTCAAAGGCGATATTTTGCACTCGACTCCTCCTCAACATTCTTCGGCTCCTTGACTGAGAAATCCTCTTAATCAAGCGTAATCCGAACAAAAACAGTGAAAATGCTCTGTATTATGATCCTCCTCCAGACAGGAGCCAAATCTTAAGTCGATGACTACGGAGTTGATGACCTATGTGCCACCCAACTATGAAACGGTACGCGGTTCGCATCTGGCCACCTGCCAGACAATATCATTGTGGCCTAAAGCCTGGTAAATTCCCGCTGCAGTAGTGGTTTCAACAATTCGTTCCAAAATACTTATATTAAGGGATAGTACTGTAGGTCTAATTGAAAGTTCCCAAACAAAGTATAAAACTTTCAACTCTGAAGATTTTGAAAAACGAAGAGCCGACCATCGCGAAATCGAGTTCTTCAACGAGTTCCATTAACAATCAATTTGTCTACAACTAATCGAACATAACCAGCAATTTGAGATAATTTATTATTACTTACGATAATTCTCTCTATTCGAAATGTATGTGACGCCGCCCAACGATGAAATTTCGATGATGTTCAAAATTAAAATTAAGCTAATCAATAGGTCAGCCTTCGGCACCAGGTGCGGCCGACGTTGCTGCAAATTGCCCAACATGCTGCGATAGAAATTCTTGTACACAAAGGCGATGGGGAAACGTGGGCCAATGTGTAAGGCAATACTCAGGCGCCAGAAGTAGCGTTGTGGACTGACACCGGTAATGGCACTTATCGATGGTACAATGTTGTAGACCTAAAAATGGAAATCAAAAAATCAAAGGTATGGCAATTGAAAAATCATTAGCTGACAGGTGCCCCAGTTACCTGCATGCATACATATGTACATATACTATTAATGTACATACATATGTATGTCACACAAGAAGACACTTGATACTACTTTACTTACACGGCAATGTGTTTCGTGCACATCATCATATTGGAAGACGTATGCGGTGACGAAGCAGGTGAACAACGTCACCAATGGAAGCAGAGCAGTCACCACACAAATCCGATGGAAGCTGGCAAAGAAGTGCACGACAACTGCTGACGACGTGGTAGTAGGCGTCGATGGCAGCGAAGACATACCTGTGACTGGTGACGTAGCTGCGGCGGCGGTAATGTCTGTTGTTGGCTTACTGCTGCTTGTTGCGCAATACTGTAGCCGGTGGAGCGAGGAAAGCAAGCAAAATTGTAAAATCATAATCGGAAGTAGAAGAGGAAGAAGAACAAGTTAAATTGTGCTTGATAAATATGGCTACAAGCTACATATTGTGAATGTCACTCATACGCCATGTACACCCCTCCATTGAATTGTGAGTACGTGGAAGAAAAAAGCATGACGGCCACGCAAATAAAAACGAAAAAAACAACATTGAAAATCAATAGAAAGTAATAAATTACTTAAAAGCATCTGATGGCAACTCAGCAGTGGCGATAATATTTAAAAGCTCATCAGTGTATACCGCTTAAACATTCATTTCATCATACATACATACATACATACAAATTTACTTAAATAGAATTTTAAATTCAGGCCACTTGCAAAAAAGAACGAACATAGCTATATTCAAGGAAGAGGGGTATTTAGTACGAAAGGCACGAAAATAGCAAATGAAACGTACAATAAAAATGGCTGGTCATTAAATATGAACAGGTAATAAAATTGCAGATCCATCATTGCGTGTCCAACGCAATTGTGTGGTGAAGCTTGCAAATTGATTACTTAAGAGGAATTTACGTAGAAAAAAGAGAATTTACAGAAATTGGATTTTATTCACATCGCACTTAGTCCACCATGGGCTCATTGTGATGCCATATTAGAGACTCCTTACGTCCCTCCTTTTAGCTTAAAAGAGAAACCAATTTGTCGCTCTGAAGTTTATTTTTATTATTTTTATGACTATTTCACTAATGATCATTTAAAATATTGATAGAATTTCCAGCTTAAATTTAAAACAAAAGTTGATTAATTAATACCTAACATATGTATATATTTATATCTGGAAAATTGGTGACTACACGGTCACGTCAGTAGCAGAGGGTTAAAAGAAAAGTAGAGCCCTCGGCAATGCACGACAATGACAAAGGAAATACCCGAGAGAACTCCAATTACATGTCGGAGTAGTGGAAGCGCCAAGCGGATGAGAGGGCAATATGCCTTGCTATCATGCATGTTGGTTCCGCAATTTTATTTAGCAATCCGAATCGGATGGAAGGTGTTGAGAAAAGCGCCAGAAACGAAATGGAATTTTCGAAACAAAATTTATGGATGGCAATTTTAAGAAATCAATCAATATTTTCAATTTGATATTAATTGGGAACGAAATGGAATTTTCGAAACAAGGTTTAAAACTGCACCTAGATGGGATTTCTTCTTTAACAGTGACTATTTCAAGTATGAAGTATTATGTGCGTGCATACATAAGTATTGTTGAAAAATTCATCACATTTCAAATAATCATATTTTTTTTTTTATAAAGAAAAGTACCTTAAACTGCGTCAAAACTGTGACAAAACATTAAACGATTGAGCATACTTGAAATCCTTTCAGAAATCAACGTTTATCTATTCGTTTTCCTCCCGTCGTACACTTATTTATGCTCGTAACTTCTTTAATAAATAAAGTGCCCATAGAATGCGGCTAAGCTACAATGAAACATTAGTTTATTGGAAAAACTTTAAACCTAACCAGAAGTCGGTAGAGGGTTGAGAAAAAAATATGAGGAACGAAATCGAATATTCGAAACAGTCATTTTAAACAGTACATCTTATTATTGATATATTCTTTGCTAAGTTTCAAAAGACTCAGACTAAAAAAAATATTTTCTTTATACATAAATGCATCTGGATGCTCTAGAAATATTTCTGTATCAAAAAAAAAAAAAAAATTTAATTTCCTTACGTTATTTTGGCGGTTAAGGCTCGAAATGTGCTTTTTTCATAGAAGCAATTTTTTTATTAAAACCCTTCCCCAACCGTAAATTGCTGCAGGGTTAATCAAAAGTTGCCAGGAACAAAATGGAATATTCGAAACAAAAGTTTAAAACAGCACTTTAATTATATTGCCGCTTTGGGATATTGCTAAATTTGATAATTTGCTATATATTCGCACTCGTAATCGTATTCGCATTCGCACTCAACTTCGCATTTGAATGCATATTTTTTAAGGGCATAACGAGCCTTTCAATGAACAAAATGGTACCAACCCGAAACCCAACATAAAAATAAATGTGTAAATAATAAAACTAACTAAATATATGTAAATACAACAAGCTATTTTAAAGCACTGAGTATACACACATTCCTACACCAATCCATAACAATGTTATTTTCATACCACCCCCTTCCCTTCCCTACCCTTCTCCCAAATCGCATTGCTTACCAGCTGCTCATCATTCGATTGTTCGTTGTTGGCCTGCTGAGCCAGCGGCAATGCTGTCAATTGCTTTGTGTTACGCAAGATGGCACCACCGCCACTATCGCTCTGACAAACTTCAGCTGGCCTTTCACTACAGTCTTGCATGTCCTTCGATGCATCAATCGTGCTCACAGCATCCGCCATTGTAACTTAGCGCTCCCAAAAAGACAACACAGAGCAAAGCCTCAATTAAGTAAATACTTATGTACTATGTACGAGTATGTAGAAGCGCTTGATATCTACGATGATTTTCGCACAATTGCCCTTCACCACAACACTATCAAACTATAATTTCACATAAAATAATAGCAAATTGCTTAAAGTTTGTTTTTCGTTGTTGGCTTGTGCTAAAATTTCACTTTGCCCTGCACTCTCCACATCTTTTGCGTTTTATTTATAATTTACGTAAATATTAAGGAATATCGATTTTTTCGCTAACACGTTGACAAAGTCAGGTTGTAGGCTGTCGCTTCTTTGGCTTTATGCGTGGGTGGCGAGCAAATTTTTGCTAGTATTACATACATATGTGTATGTATACAGCGTTAGCTATTTGCTTCACTTTCAATTTTGTGGCTTAACTTTACTTTATAGCAATTAACTGGCTTGAAATTTTTGTCGTTAATGCTCGCACAACTAACGAGTTTTACTAATTTGATTAAGTTGCAAGTTCAGATTTCGATTTTTCCCTACAAGTGTAATCACTTTCCGCTTCTGGCTTACACAATACGCGGAAGCAGCGTTGCTTTGAGGATATGTTACTGTTATGTCACTACCGATTTGCCTTTATGACTTTGTTCGCCATTTTTGACAGCACAGCAACGCTGTATTTGTAAAGTGTTTGTTACAGAATGTCAAAAGGATGCTGCATTTAATCAACGAAGTTTTTTACAAATGTTCTTCTTTGCACGTGTTCTTTTTTTATTGAAACATGCATTTAAAAAATACAAAAATTTTACGGTTAGCTGACTCTATTCAATGCTCTGCACTCTATGGATGGACCGTAAACGTTATACAACATAAACATAAAAATCATAATTTAACCATCAAAATTTGATTTATATTTTTCCGATCAATTTTCGATCGTGATTTTTGATTTTTATTCGCTACAGTTTAATTGTTATTTAGTGATCTTTATTTTTTCGATCATACCGTAACAGTTATGTATTTTCAGATTTAACTTTTTAAGTCATAAAGTATTTAGAACGGCCAGAAAATCGCATTCTCCATTTTAACGGTTAAAAAATATTTTAAAAAAATAATAACCAATATATAATAAAATAAATAAACTAAAATAACTAACTATTTTTTATCAACCATATTCCCAAAACTTAGAATTAGATCTGACGATGGAAATTAAATATTGAGGCGAAGAAACTGAAATTTAGTTGAAAAGCACTCTTTCCTTTTTAACTCTCAAAAGAATTCAAAATTGATTAAATACTCTTGAATTGAGTTGTAGTGAGGACGAAGCAGGAAATTTCATTCCGCAGTGAGGAATTTTAGCGAACTCTGTGTTAAAATACACTACTCAAAAAAAAAAATTGGGAGGTTTTAAAAAAAGCTAATTAAAGCAAAAAAGCTATCTGCCATAGACCAAAAAAAGGCAAACAATTTGCAACAATTTTTTTCGCGCTATCTGTTAGGAATGCATGAGAACCTTAGCTGCTAGGGATTTGTAGCCAAGAATCTCAAAGCTCAAAATGACCATTTTTTTCCGAAATACAACTAGTTGAAAATCTCCAAAAAATTCACATTTTTTTGGTCCCATAATTTGTTTGATCAGTGTATTTTCTGCCTACATTGAAGGTAAAGCCAAAATGTATTTAACAAAGTGTGACTGAATTTGACATTGCTCTCAGAAGAACCATCCTATAGAGTCAAATTGGAAAAAAAAAAGTATCAATTTTTAATCGTTTGTTTATAGTTTTTGGCATAATAGTACCTTAAAAGAGAGCCGACCTGAGTTGTCAATCACACCTTGTTTAATACACTTTGGGTAAAGCCTTACCTACAACTTGTGGGGTTCATTTTTTTAAGCTAACGACCCCTGCCGAGTCTTCCGTGTACCCTGGCGGACCATTTGGACCACATTAGGAGTCACTGATCTAAACGCTTTATATTTGTCTTCTTCTTAATCTTATTTAGTCTCAAACTTCATCTTTATTTCATCCTAATCTTATTCTTATTCGTAATCTCATTATTTATCTTTATCATAAATTGTCATCTTTATCTTCATCTACTCTTTAATCTCAATCTAAATTTTTGGCTGAATTTTTATATTTGTCTTTGTTGTTGCCATAAACTTGCGTCTTTGCGTTAGTTTTTATTTATGTCGTTGCCATTATCTTTGGCTTTGTTTATATCCTTATGCGAGCCTTCTTCAATAGCATTGGAGAGAGTCATTAATCCCCCAGATATAGACGCGTGTTTGCGAGGAGTCATGCTCTCTGGAAATATTTGAGGGATGAAGCAAGATATTGTGCCGTTAGAAGGATATCCTCCCAAGTACTATACGGTAGAAGTAAAATTTTATGCTTTAAAGAAAAAGTCTGATGGGAGATGTGATTATCTCCGAAATATCAGCTATAACTTCTACCGATTACAATTTGTTGCTTTTTCCTAACAATCAATTTCAATATTTTTGGTACAACTTCCGATTTCATGCGATGAACGCACTGTATGAAAGGAAGTTATTCGTAATTTTTTAAAAGCTTGTTGTACATAAGTACATATCGCACACCCTCTTCAAGACAGGCACAACTTAAAAAAAAAAAATTATGTAGATTTTTTTCATAAGCCAATTCGTAAGACTTATCTCCAAGTAATCCAAATCTACAACTATCTTTTCCTGTATGATTATATTAGGGGCTCTCGAAGTCTTACAAAGCCCTAGAACGGATTGCAAAGCTTTGCCATAGGAAAAGCGTTCTTTACCGCACAATTCGTGCACGGTGCAATGCCTTTGGAAAACCTCGATAATCTCCCTATTCTCTAACTAGAAAACTACTTTTATTAGCTCTTTTGCAGATCGCGTGAAACATAGAGAAGAATAATCGTACGGCAGGCGAAGCAACTCGGGTTAAGTTGGAAGGAAATCAAAGTGATTGCCAGAAACCAAACCAGATGGCGCGCGAAGTCGCTGTGGATGCCCTATGACCCGCTTTGGATTAAAAGACGAAGAAGAATCACATTTATGATATCCAGGACTACGAAGATATCGCAAACATACTTAGATTGTTCTCCCTTCAAACAGGGGCTTGTAATGTGTAGCATCCCTCACATGCACCACAACTGCCATAGCGCCGAGAATCGGTCGACACAACCGTTAACTACCAGGTTAAGTCTACTTTTCACATTTTTTTAAGTATGTATGTGTATATGCTTTTTATTTAAAATAAGAGGTAAAGTTTACGCATACTCATTTATTTACTTGTATATGAGTAGAAGGATAAGCTTCTGCTGGAAACTTTTATGAATACAATCAGGAGGATTTCCTTCCTATTTTGCAAGGATATCCTTATGCTTTTCTTTCTGAGTACGACCCAATGAAAAGCAAGCAGTCGCCAAAACTTCTACTCGATGGCCAATATTCCATGCTACCCAGCTTCAGAAAAAAACACCGGAGTGGTTTGGAGTGGTGGATTGCGGCACCGCATTGTGTAATCTGACAGATCGAACATGTCTACATTAAGAATAGATCTATCGAAATGGCACGACACGTGAAGGTGAAGTTGATAAAGGAATCCTTCATATACATACATATTTATGTATAAGGTCTTCACTGTGAGTACTTTTCTCGACATCGAGCAGCAATCGTCAGATGCTTGGATGCGATTGGGGTCAAAGCCAACTTAATTAAGGGTACATATGTATGTGTACGCGAGTGGATTAACGCCACCATTATTTGGATTGGAGTTGTAAACGACCTGTTGGAAAGTCTGAGGGTGAAGAAACCATAATTGGTTTTTTTTTGCTACAAGGCAGGTTATTGTTAAAATTTGAGAACGCAATAGCTGGTACAATGTTCTCACTTAGATTGCTTAAATGACTAAGGATTTGGACAATCTAGTATTCTTTGCGGTTTCGCTTTTATGCGTGTTAATAATGATTGGCTATGCTGGCATCACTGAGTTTTTTTTCACTCACATCCATTTAAGGTATGAGTTGACGTGTAACAGGAATTGAAAGAGGCCCCGGAGAACTTTTGCAAGGGTGGATGGAAGCTTGACGGAAAGGTCTTTAAAGAGGTTTTTTGAAGGGAGCGCTCCATTAAAATAAAATTTAGGTGTGCTCAAAGCTAGCTAGCGTCTAGCCTTTCTCTCAATCGAGCCTGATGTTTTCTCAGGCAGAGATATTAGGGTAAAAAGATGTGTTAGAGGGGAAAGACATTCTTGAGTCGGTCTCATCATGAAAATGGAAGAGGGGGCGCCTTTGACTACATGGCAAGGACGCAGAGGAGTCTCGGTTCAACTCAGCAAACGCTAGGTTCCTAATAGAACGCCCTCTTGGCCCCAGATTCAACACCGGCTTCATACTGCACAATGCAGTTTATTGATTCAAATTCTTTGTTCTTCCCTCACAATCGAGCTTATATAAAGCTGAGTTCAACATCTGCAGGATTATAAGCTCAGCATCCCAACCACACCAGCTGAAAAGATAGCCAAGATTTTATTTCTGCAGAAGTGGCGGGACGTTCTCAATCGAAGCCATTGTTTTGCCATCAAACGTCGGCCGAGCATATCTCCGGGGCGAAAGTCAGATGCTGACAGTGAAAGTTCATAAAATCTTGTTATCGAAGCAGTTCCTCGTGAGAGGTCATCGGTGAAACCACAATAACCAGGCACAAGCGGTGATCGACACTGTCCATGGCGATATTGGAGCTGGAATTGCCTAGATCTATTGGGCTGTTCAGGATCTTGTATATATTCTCTTGCATTTGCATATTCATTGCGTTTATAAATTCACAACAATAAAATGCCCACGGTTGCCATGGCAGTAAGCATAAAATTTGCAAATTCATTTCCAACTGCAAATCCAGGACCATTTCCTCAACATCCTGAACAGCCCTTATATCTAGTCGTGGCACAAAGTTTTTATAATTTAAATAAAACGCACCTTGTATTTTTTGTATTCATTTACAGCACTGGGCAAGGCGAATTCAGGTTGACGTTTAAAAACAGCTGACCACAACTGTCACAGCAACGGCGATTTAGGCTCCATAATAAATTTTTTTTGGGTTATGTAGTGATTTTTGATTACGATATTTTTATATCCAAATTAAATAAAATATTAATAAAATCAAAGACAATGAGCTCATTGGTGCGACGATTTGCACAGTTTAGCCTTATACAACGGAACTTGTTACAAAATTCACTTAAAGTGCTAGTGCCGGCAAGTAATAGCGTACATACCTCGGATGCACTAAACTCCAAATGGAATAAGGCTAATCATGGANGGGCTCCATAATAAATTCTTTTTGGGTTATGTAGTGATATTTGATTACGATATTTTTATTTCCAAATTAAATAAAATATTAATAAAATCAAAGACAATGAGCTCATTGGTGCGACGATTTGCACAGTTTAGCCTTACACAACGGAACTTGTTACAAAATTCACTTAAAGTGCTAGTGCCGGCAAGTAATAGCATACATACCTCGGATGCACTAAACTCCAAATGGAATAAGGCTAATCATGGACCCCGCAAATGGCTAGAATATAATAAGACCATTCATCCACCGCAAAAGCCTGATGAGGAGCCACGAAAAGCGGTAAGTTATTTATGATTTGGATTATAGTTGATATTAGTAATTTGACCATTTATCTCATCTCTCAGTACATTTGTCATTTGCGTACCAACATTAAATACAGTCCGGATAAGATNAATATTAGTAATTTGACCATTTATTTACCCCTCCTCCGTCATATCGCAGTACATTTGTCATTTGCGTACCAACATTAAATACAGTCCGGATAAGATGTGGTATATCGCTTCGTTTGTACGTGGCATGTCGGTTGATGAGGCTGTAAAGCAGCTGAGCTTCGTGCTGAAAAAGGGCGCCACACACGTCAAAGAAGTGATACTTGAGGCACAGGAAATGGCTGTGCGCCAGCATAATGTTGAATATAAAAGTAATTTATGGATTGGTAAGTAATAGTTTTTTTTTCGAAACTATTTCAAAGAAATCGATTTATGTATTTGCTTTCTACAGCTGAATCTTTTGTGGGCAGAGGGCGTTATTTTCGTGGCATGCGACGTCATGCGCGTGGACGTCAGGGCATCGTACAGTATAAACATTGCCACTATTTCGTACGACTAGAGGAAGGCGAACCACCAAAAGACTATTACCTACCCGCACCACAAACACCCGAACAGCAATTCGAAAAATGGATTGAACAAATGCGCAGCCGCAAAGTTATCAACTCTCTTTAAAAAGTTTAGGTTTATCAAATGTTGTTTAAGAGATGCAATACAGTGCGTTTAATATAAAATATTGAAATTGATAAAAATTTAACTAACAATTAATCTTGTAAAATATTAGGCGTCGGCTAAGATTTCAGATATTAAAGTTTCTAAACCATCTATTGAAATAATTGCGCTTTCGGGTTTATACGCCCGTGCGAGTTTTGCAAGCGGTACGTCAAATTCGCTATCTTCACTCTCACTTTGTTGTTCCATTAAAACGTTCCCAGCAATTTTTAAGGCATCGTCTTCGCGTTCTCTTAGTAGTTTGTCCAGTGTTTTGTTAACCGCTACACCACTAAATTTTGCAAGATTCGAAATAATTGATTGGCCAGCATCCTTTCGTTTTTTTCGCTTCCCTGGAAGCTTTTTAGTTTTTTCTGTTATTTTACTTGTATCTTCTGTTGCTGGTCCGTGGTGTACGCGTTGTAAATGCTTGGCCAAGTTTTGTCCACTACTGAAAACACGTTCACATCCTTCAACGCTGCAATCAAATCGTTTGCCATCGTGGGCAATACGCATGTGTTGTCTCAGATTTCGTTCGTAAGCATAGCTAAGATCACAGGTTTGGCATTTAAAAATCATTTTTTGCTCTTCATCAACATGCTTTGCACCTATGTGCTTCCGCAATTCACTCGGTCTGTTATACACACGCTCACAATGCTCGCACCGGTAATATTTGCGCCCATGTTGCTTTTCTTTGCAATGCTTCAGATACAGCGTCCATTTATCGAACTTTGTGTTACAGTTTGAACAAATGTATACTTTACAAACGGGGGCATGCCGGTCATGTTGCCATTGCTGGTAAAACCCTCTTGAGCACTTCTTGCAACTACAAAGAAAGCATCAATTTAAAGTTCTGCCATACTTAGTGTGTGTTTATCTTACGTATAAGGATATTTTTCCGTGTGTTTTTGAATCTCATGTCTCCGCAATTTTAATTTTTGTGTGAACTTTTCTGAACAAAATCCGCATGTATAAATTTTTGGATTTTCGTGTACCTCTCGTATATGGCGAAGCATATTGGTCTCAGTCTGGAACATTTTCAAACAACCAGGTACTTGACAAGATATATTCTTCGTCGGCGGCGCAACACGTTCATGCGTTGTACGCAGATGACGCTTCAAGTGTGTCAATATCGAGTAGACCTTATCGCAACCGTCATAAAGGCAATGATGTTTTTTCTAAAAGAAAAATAAAACAACATATATAGTTAGCAACAATAGCCTTCTTGTTGGTGAGCAAGACTTACTATTCCGGTGTGATGGAATTCATGTCGATCTAGATGATCCAGCCGTTTGAAACTATGGCCACAACCCTCTATGCTGCAAAAGTATTTTGGTCCAGTGCTACTACGGCGTGGTTTAGGTGCATTTTTAAAAGAGATAACACTTTCCAAATCACTGTCAGAGTTCACAAAGTTTCCCGGAGACATTTTTACAAAATTATATCGAGCATATATAACCAAAAGCAAAGATATTGCATGTGTTTACAAAATTCACGTGAAAAGTGCGAATGTCAACAAATAAATTTCTACAACCAGTGTTGAAAAGTGACGATTGCTGTAGGCGATAAATTAAATGATCCCTAATAGTACAACTCCACAATACCATTTTCAGGCCTTCCGCGCTTTCATGCTTTCAGTTACACAATTCAGCAATTACTGAAAGCAGAGAAATTTTCGGAGCAGATTAATATTTTTTTATTAAATAGTATAAGGAAATTTTTTTACATGTTTAGGTACCTTTTCAGTTCATTAATTTTTTTCTATACTAACGCACTATTTGCATATGTATATAAGCGTATATGTATATTACAGGTAGGTTTTCAATTCATCAATCGATGAGCTCAATCTCTAGCTAGTACTCAAAACAAACTTTCCATCAATAAATTTGTGTTCTAAAAAAATTGGTAAACTCTCAGTTGGCGTATAAATTTCTGACCTTTTGTTAGTAATGCCTGGATTATAATGGAAGTAACGGAACGGAGTGAACAACAACAGTCACTTAATTATCTATTGTATGGGCAGTAATGCACTTGAACGCAATGTAAAACGGAAACATCTAAAATCAATAGATCCTTACGAATTCGCCGCGATTTGTTACGATTCGCCCCGTGCATTATAACCAAGGTATAAGAGTTCCTGCGAATATTAAGCCTTCAACTGCTTCGACATTTAATATGTTCCTATATTGATTTTTAATCAGATTCATCTATGAAATTTGTCTATCGGTAGCAGAACTACTGTTCGGTAAAATAGCTAACCTCAGAATATACTCAGCCAAGTTGCTAAACATACACAATCCAAAGCATTCTGGTCCTCCATCAATCCCCTGCTTTGGGAATTCAAAAATGATTCCGCAAGGAATGTTGAAAAGTAAAAGAGACAACTTGCTATACAAAACCTTAGTGGCTATTGAGCAAAAATTTAAGAAGTTACCATATTATTTTGTAATAAATTTTAAATGTTAATGGAAAAAAGTTATGAAAATTGGAGCACATTTTAGGTTAGCGGAGTAGGGACTCCATTTTAAATTTAAAAAGATATCGCATTAAATCTACTCCGATCGGAGGGACGTCCGGACGGTGGTCTAAACTCGATTCCGAAAAATCGAGTTTTTTTAGCAAAAAGTTGACTTTTGACTTGATTCAGTGTCGACTTTTCCATCTCTAAACGAAAGCCGAACTAAAAGGGGGAGTGACTAAAAAGTGAAAATCAGAAAAATCTGCTTTGATAGTAATTTAGACGAAATTTGAGTGTTTATTTCTGTTAAAATGGAGTACGAAAGTGTTTTGATTGTTAAGCCAGAAGTATTTATTTATAAAATCCCACCACGCGCTAGCAACAGAGGTTACAGGTAAGTAATTTCCTCGGTGCTCCAGCGTGAAAAGTGTGTTCGTGGAAAAATTGTTCGTTTCCCATTTTCTTGCCTGCTATTATTTTTTTTTTGTTTTTCATTGCCACTGCCAGCAGGAAAGACAAAGAATCAAAAGTAAAGTTGAAAATTGTAATTATCATCAATGGACCACGTCAACGGCAGTATGGCAAAACCAATCACGATGAATTAGGCAAATAACTTCCTTCAGGTGGTCATTACGAAAACATAATTGCTTGTCCTTTGGTGCAGTTTCCCTCGTACAAGGTTAAACTTTCAAGTTCAATTGCAATTGATTTTTCAGCGGCAAATCATTAATTGGCCAACTTCGCAAATTTTTTTATTACCAACTTTTATAAAATAATGCGTATCTATCACTTAAAATTAAATTCCCAGCGAAATTTTTTAACTGTTGTTAAAATATGTATATGTACATTAAAACACGTAAAAAAATCCTGCAATGCGACCGGAATAGGACTCAAATTTTAGCATTTGGTATAGTAATGATCCTCCATGGATCTCATCTCTCCAGGACAATTGTAAGATGTGCCCGCCGCGAGCCTTTAGTTTTACCGTAGGAATTACATATAAGAAAATGAGTTCTTGCTTTTTGAGGTCAATATAATTTTCTAGGATCAATAAAAGCGCTCGAAACTTTAAGAATACATTGATTACATGCCATTTAAGTATTATTACCGGCTCAGATTATTTAAATTCCCAAATTGTCCTTTTTTAATCCCTTGTCCTATTTGGGTAAAATCTAGTATATACCAAATTTTTTTTTGGAATTTAAGGAATCTGAGCATGCACAATACTCAAGTGGCATATAATTAATGTATTCTTACAGTTTCGATCATTTTTATTGTTCCTAGAAAATTATATTGACTTCCAAAGGAAAGAACCCATTTTCATACGTGTAATTCCTATGGGAAAACTAAAGGCTCGCGGCGGCACCTCTTACAATTGTTCTAAAGAGGTGAGATTCATGGAGAATCATTGCTATACCAAATGCTAAAATTTTAGTCTTATTCCGGTCGCATTGCAGGATTTTTTTTTTTTTTTTGACGTGGTCTACTGTGCATACATGATTTTGTTGTTAGCAAAATTCCATCTCAAGACTTCAACTTTTAACTACTCTGATCATTCAATAACAGAGCTGCAGATTGGAATCTTGGCGAACCCACATGGACTGGTCGTATGCGTTTAGTGGCAAAAGGTACAGCTTGCAACCTAAAACTGGAGGATAAAGCAACAGGAGCGCTTTTTGCCAATTGCCCAATTGATACATATCCAGGTGTTGCAATAGAAGCGGTTTCGGACAGTTCGCGATATTTCGTAATACGTGTACAGGATGATAACGGTAACTAGCTTGCAGTAATTCAAGTTAAACAAGCACACCTTAATGACTACCATTTGGTTTCGTGCTTTTTAGGTCGCTCTGCTTTTTTGGGTCTAGGTTTTGGTGATCGTTCGGATTCATTCGACTTAAATGTAGCGCTGCAGGATCACTTTAAGTGGGTGAAAAACCAAGAACAAATTGAAAAAGAAAAAACAGAGCCTAAGCAGCAGCTTGATTTGGGTTTCAAAGAAGGCGAAACCATTAAAATTAATATGAGAATAACAGTAGGTGTTTGAAACTTTAATACGCGTTTGTTAGGTGCTAAAATATTTTTCTCATTTCGTGTTATAGAAAAAAGATGGTTCAGAGGGCACTGCTCGCACTGGCAAAACTAAACCATCGTCTGGTATTTTACCTCCACCGCCAGGCGGTGTTGGAAAGATCGCGCCACCACCATCAACGGCCGGCGGTTCAGTGCGACAAAGTCCGGGAACTTCGCCTGCACATAAAGCGCCTGGTGGTCCAGGCACCGAGTGGACGGATTATGCCTCGGCAGGGTAAACTTAAAGTTCTTTAAAAAAAAAGTACAAATTACTTATAATTTTATTTCTTTTATAGTGGTCAAGGCCAGGCACAACAGCAGCAGAATGCAACAAACGCAAATTGGGTGCAATTCTAATTAGGTTTGAACAAATAAATAAATACATATACATAAACTCATTCAGAGAAGCATAAAAGTAAATGTATGTTCATTAATAACATACTAATGCTAGAAAGATTTAACAACAAACAAAGAAAGTGAAACGGAAAATTAAAAAAGCTTTTGGCCAGAATCGTATTGCATATAATTTATTGCATTCATGTTAGTAATATTTTACGCGGCTATGTATAAGTACATGTAACACTAATCATACAATATCGACAATTTAACGAAATTTAAGGAATTAGCTAAAAGTTAAAACGGTAATCAAACCAGTTTATGGTATAGCAAAAATAAAAAAAAAAAAAAACGGCAAATGTGTATGTAAAACTTGTTGATGTAATATAAAATAGAGTATTAAAGAGTTCAGTTTATTAGTAAAATTAAGTATGTATATCTTAATTATACAATGCAATTTTTGAAAACAATTACATACATTTATGCATACGAATGTGCTCCAAACAAAAAAAGAACTGAACAGTTAAAAAAGAAAGTCGAAAACTAAACAAGCATTATTATACATATTTTTTAACAAAATTTGTAGCAAACTTTTTGTTGTTTAAATTTCAGTAATTTTAAAAAATTATTTAATTCATCTGGTATGTCAAGAGCACTCACTAACACTACAGATGTACTTACAACGTTCGCGTTGATTAAATATATTCGCATTTTTATAAAACTTTTATTTAGATTTGCATACACATTCCACTCTGTATTATTATTGGTTTGATAATTATAATTTGTTATCATTATTCACCTTTCAAAACATATTTGTTCTTACTCTAGTATTTGAAGAAGGATTTTGTGATTTTTTATGTTTGCTAATAAATTTGAGTTCGTATTTTTTTCAACGTAATTCGTAAGAGGCATTGACAATGAATTGCACACTCACCATTCTCATTGTAACCAACGGAAAATTTTATGAAATTTAAAAGTTAATACATATTCACTACTATTAAATATTGAAGCATAGCCTAAAATGTTCGTATTTAGATTGTTCAGTGCTTTTGCAATTACTTAGGGCATATTAATTTTAGTATTTTGTTGCATAAAAAATTAAACTAAAAATTTAATTCAATAACCGATTATTGCAAAATGTGCAAGATATATTGTTTCGTGAACTCATTTAATATACATATTAAAATAACAATTTTCAAATAACAAAAAAAGAATTTCCATCTTTATTACTTATGTATGCTCCGCTTTGACTGGCAAGTTTTTGAGTATGTAAAGAAATATGTATTTTAAAGTAAGTTATGTATTTAATCAAGATTGGTGAACAATATTACCGAAATTGAGAAAAAATATTTTTATTTACATAATAAATTAATTAACTTGATGCAAAAGAAATGCTTAAGAAAAGCTTTCCAAAGCACAAATCGACTGATTTCATTTTAGTTTTCCCTAAAGAGGTGAGTACTTAATTGCAATCTATTTTTTGAAATGCTTTAAAAGTACATACTTATGTATACAGGGTGTCCCAAAAGTAACGTGCCAAAAGCTTAAATAAATGTTTAGAAAACCCAAGGCATATTCAACAAGGTAGAAGTGACACCTTAGCTCAGTAGAACGAGAAGAAAAACGGGAAGAAATTAAGCCCCATTTGGGGGAAAAATATAAAATTTCACATTTTTTCCTAAACCAAATTTGCTTTTTTATAGTATGTTCGTAGTAAAATGAAATAAAATAAGATAAAATACATTTTTAAGAAAAAAAATTGTATACTGAGAAAAAATAAAAAAATATTCAACTATATTTTTAGGCAAAGGATTGTTAAAGAAGTAACACTGTCTCACCTAAGGCAGTCAATATGGCGGAATTAGAGCGAGAAGTTGCCAACTGGTAACACCTTTATTATTGCATCATGAATCATGGCTACTGTCTATACTGTCGCCTCATGTGAACACCGTTTTAAAGTTAACACCCGATTTACATGATTCAAGTACTTGAAAGCAATTCTTGCTCATTCTCTTTTGTGTTTTCTATTTTCTTTTACACGTTTCAATTCTGTTGAATTCAAGTTTTTGGTTCTTTAAATGGGACGCATGTGTACTCGTCCCTTTTCTTCTCACCCCCTCTCTTCCACATGCGAGCAGAATTGAATTCAATACTTGAACTGTGTAAAAGCAGTCTAAGGAATAAATGTTGCCGGCTGCATTTACTGAACACACCCAAAATGTGCATCAGCTGATTTTGCTGCAGGTTGGCAGTTTTTGTTTTATTTATCTTTTCCGAAGGAGATATTTTAGCATAAAATTAAACAATTGCGAATTTGTTTGTATAGAGCAAAGAATTTCCAACACAATTACCACCTATAATGTACACACTACTACATGGCTTCTACAAATACCTCACACAAAAGGAGGAGTACTGTGTGGTAATATTGGGACTGGACAATGCTGGGAAAACGGTATGTGAATCTTGTTTGCAAAACTATATTATTAAGCTTCTTTTTCCTGTGTTATTTAAGACTTATTTGGAAGCAGCGAAAACCAAATTTACAAAAAATTACAAAGGCATGAACCCGGCAAAGATCACTACAACGGTAGGCCTGAACATTGGTACAATCGATGTGGCTGGGGTACGACTAAATTTCTGGGATTTAGGCGGACAACAAGAACTACAATCCCTTTGGGATAAATACTACCAGGAATCACATGGCGTGATTTATGTGATAGATTCGAATGATCGCGAACGCATGGAGGAGTCAAAGGCGATTTTTGGTTGCTATAAAATACATTTAATTTATATAACAAGCACCTTAAACTATAAACTTATGCTTAATTGCAGACAAAATGATTAAAAACGAGTTGCTCTCTGGCGTACCACTATTGATTCTAGCCAATAAACAGGATTTGCCCGACGTAATGGGTGTACGTGACATTAAACCAGTTTTTCAACAGTCTGGAGCGCTCATAGGTCGACGTGACTGCCTCACCATGCCAGTATCAGCGCTCACAGGGTAAGAAGTAGCACCGTCCCATACAATTCCGACCCAACTTAAGCTTATTTCTTTTCTTGGACAATACAGTGAAGGTGTGAATGAAGGCATTAAATGGCTGGTTGAGGCTATCAAACGCCATTCCATAGTGCGACCGCCCAGAGAAAATGATTGATGTTCTGATTAGGGGATCGATTGTTGCTTTATAAAGATACGAAACTTGTGTAAAAATGTATGTAGGTATAACAAGTTCTATTGTAAAATGTTCTTGATTATTATTGAGGGTAAACACTTTCATTATTCGCTTCTGTGAGCTTTTTTTTTAACAATGTATGTATTTACAAGTACATCTCTACTTTTACTAGATTTTAGTCGTAAGCATTGAAACAAGCATTTCAAAAGAGCAAAAAGTTAAGAAATAAAACAAAGCATTTTGTAATGAAATTAATGTGTATTGCCCTTCAGGATTTAATATTCGCTTACCTTGTATCAAAATTGGAATAACCACGACTGGTAATTAAGAGAGTATTTTCTCAAACCGCCTCTTTTCAGCAAAACCTCTCTACCTTTACTGCTTATCAGGTGGTATTCCAATTAATACTTTACGAGTATCTGATAAAAAGGTGTAACTTTTGTTGAACTCATTCGATTTCTTTTGTTAATGCTCCCCATTGCTCTCTCGAGCCGTTTTAACATTATTTAGCTACAAGGAAATACATGCATACATGCATGTTTTGAGATAACAAATAAAACTTTTGATAAAAATTCAGAGCAGCAGGTAGGTGTAGTAGGCGATTTCTTAACATGGTGCTTGCTAACGTATTAGCTCATCGAGGTCTGCAATGCCCATTTGTTGGAGCAGAACACACGTTTGAATAGGTAGATTTTAATAGCGCTATTTACATGCCGTGGCTCAGTATAGACTAGACGACATCGTCTTCGGTAGGAATTGACAGCTGTGGTAGCATTACATTACTCTAGGCGTGTTAACAAGTGGTTTTCGGTATATATGTACATAGTGAATTATATTAATCAACTAAATGTTGTGCTATTAACACGGATTCGTGCACATTTCTTTTAAATTACTGCGTAATCATAAAATTTCAGCAAGTACTGGAATTATAATAGTGGCTATCATAATTTTTAGAGTTTACAAAGATCGCCCAAAGAACGGGTCATCGAATTGATACATACAAACGTACATATATAAAACTTCACATTTAAGATAACAACTAGCGACTATCGCGACATCGTTGCACCCGCTTATCAGTAACAGTTTCCGTGATATCGAATTTTTCGTGGTTTCTTGTACATTTTTGGTGAATGGTGTGAAGTGCCGAAAAAAAAACAAATAAATATGTATGTATGTATATGTGCCCAACAAATAAAGATATAATAAATTCTAAAAAATTTGCACGAATTTAAATTAAGAAATTAAATTGAATAATTTACTGCAGTCGGGCAACATGTATCCATATTACGAACCGGACTGGAGTGTTCTGCCGCCGGAAAATAATCGCAGGTACTTCAAATGAGTAATACATACTCATACTTCTTTATCTAACTATTTATTTTGAACATGTTTTTTAGAGTATTCTAGACATTTATTTATACTATATATAACACTAATCGCAATATTACTTAAAAATATGACCGGCATACATATTTACTCTAATTTTTAATTAACATTTATTCATAATACCATTAACGCCAGCATTGCTTAAAAAAACGTTCCCTCAACAGTCGGGTCTACGTAACCGGAACGACCCAGATTTATATCTGGCCAAGGACTGCCACTCCAGCAACACACCCCAAAAACTCTTTGGGGAATTTGTATGCTGTTACATCAAAAACAACATGGTTTTTCTCTTTTTAATTGTTAAATAAACATTTCGCAAGATCATGGATTAAATATTTGAAACTAACGGTGAAACTTTGTGAGCGAATTATTCTATTGAGAGGCTTAACATGTTGCAAAGTTTGAAGTTTAAGACATTTAGGGTATACACAATGCCGTGGTGCCAGCATTATTAATATGCAATATTTCTCTTAAAAACTGTAAAAAAACGGTGTTATCACAAAAATAAAGGAATATACAATTTTACGAGAAGATTTTCAAGTGGCAGAAATATATCCGTAAGTAGTTTTTTTGTTTGCAACATGGGCATTTTTTTTGGGCAACTTGTATGGGACCAACCGACATTTAACGACATTTCTGCTTTGCGTGACATTTTGATTTTACGTTTCCCTCAATGAAATCAAATGAAAACGCACGCCAATTTCGTGTGACGCAAAAA